AATCGTAGGCACACAGGCCCTTCTGCGAGCTCAGATGACCCACGGTTCTTCCCGAAGCCAGAGGCTGGCTCCCCAAGCGTCCCGGGAAAGATCTGTTACTAAGAAGTTCCTCTCCCAGGCAGGAGACCAAGCCAGGTGCACCCCCCTCCTTAGTATTCATGGCCAAGGCCATGGCCACAGCCCCGCCCACAATCCCATAGCCCCGCCCACAAGCAGCCGCCCTGGCTCAGAGGTAGGAAGGGCAGCTCTCCCAATGGGAAGGGATGGTTTGCCCCAGACACGCTTATTGAGGCGGGATGAGCAGCCAGAGGAGAGGTCAGAACTACCCGCGGCCCCGACTGCCTTGCTGGCCCATGTGCATCACAAAGACAGGGAGGCGGCTCTGTCCTCAGGGCCGGGGGTGGGGTGGGGGGGTGGGAGGGGCACGGGATGGCCTGGCTGGCTGCACCACCTTCCGGTGCCTGTGATGTGAGGGCAGGGCCCAATGAGGACGCCGCATCTTCTGATTCCCAGGCGCCAGAGAGAACGACTTGGCTGGAGACAGACCGAAGTCCAGCCCCAGCGGGGAGCAGGTCCCGTTCGGAGTTGCTAGAAGCATCTGGGCCAACCAGGACCGAAGTCCCAGGAGCTCCGTGTTGGACTTCAGCAGCGTTCCAACGCGGGGAGCTCATGACGCACTCCCCAGGCTGAGCAGCGCGGCCGGGGTCGACCCAGGGCTGCGGCTCCTCTTCCCCGCTCATCTCCTCCTCCGCTGGCGCACCAGGCCGGCAGGAGGCACGGGAACACGGCCGCATCTTGGAGCAGACACTGGCGGAACAGGCCACGCCGGCCCACGCAGACGGCAATTCGGGCGTCACGTTCATATGCACATGAGACGTTATACAGCCTGAAGGCTGCCCAGCGGCTTGTGGTGTAATCAGCACTTGCTCGCAGGCTCCCAGCCAGGCTCCCCGGGCAGAATGGAGTCCAGGGGCGCCCTGGCCCTCTGACGCCCATGTCCGCTGCCGTCCTGTGACGGGAGGCCGCGTGTTCAGCAGGTTCATGTCAAAGGTAACGGTGACCGGAAGGCAGAGACGCCCGTGTCCACAGCAGCTGGCCAAGCGTGGGCTTCAGGCGTCCCCTGTGGGGGCCCCGGTTTGCCTGCGACAGGTGTCGTGGGTCTGGAAGGGCCCTGTGGCCGCTGCTCCAGGAGCCATTCCCCGTGACGCCGGCTGTCATTTCCATCTGGGTCCCTCCAGCTACGTCCCGGAGCGGATTTCACACACGACGGGTGTGAGGCACAACCCCTGCGCCGACGCTGATGCTGCTGGGATCTGTCACGTGCGCTGAGCGCACCTGTAGCCGCCTTACCCTCCCCTCACTGCCTGCTGACTGCTCCTCCCAGGGCTGCCAGGGCCTCCTCTTAAGGAGCACGAATTAATACGTAAGGAGCACCCACCAGGCCTGGGCACAGGGACCAGGGTGCACGCGGACAGGCCGCGGTCTGGGACCAGCTGATGAGTTCACCAGTGACCCAGCGGCAGCAGCATTTGCTCAGCTCTGGCTGTGGGCTCAGCTTGGCACTGACACAAACAGGAAGGACCAGGCTGCCCTTGCCCTCGGCTCCCGCATGCTCAGGGTCAGCAGGAAGCTCACAGCCACCATCACCGTTAACGCCGAGGAGCCACCTGCCAAGAAAGGATGCGGCGCGTGTTCAGGGTGCGGAGCCCCAGGCCCGGGAAGGCTTGGGAGGACGTGGACCTGAGGGCTGTCTCCTGGTCCAACGCGGAAGCGGTGACCTCAGGCCCCCGCGTGGGACGGGAGGGGAGGCCCACAGGAGAAAGACCGGAAGACACGAAATCCACGGGGACGAGTCCTCCCACACAGTCGCGGAGGCTCAGCCTTAAAGAATCTGCAGCTGCTGCTGATTTCTTCGTGAATCAGAAGTAGGGAGATGGGGTGGGGGTCAAAGAGGCGGGTCCCCAGCCCTTCATTTGGCAGCCATCCCTCCCCTCCTCCCATAGAATCAGCCCCGGGGCGGGGGGGATGTCTCTTAGTTCCCGCCTCAGGGGTTGCCAGCAAGGCAAGCGCTCTGACTGCGGGACTTCCTGAATGTTCCAGAATGTCACCTTTGGCACGACATCGCTGGTGGGTCTCCCAGTCTGAGCCATCCGCTCCCCTGCAGCCAAGCGATTATTACTCAGAACGGCCAAGAAGAGCCGAGAGCTCTGCAAACGAGGAAGCTGCCTCCGGGACAGTCGTTGTTTATGGGGCCGAGACACGTGGAGAACGCAGAGCTGCCAACGTGGCATCGGGGCTCCTCGCCAGTGCTGGGCGCATCCCTTCGTGCACACGGTGCAGAGAGGGGGAGGGGCCTGGGCACCCCACCAGCGACTCCAGGCCTTGCAGGGGCAGCCGCACACGTGTGCCCAGCAGTTCAGCTCCCTCCCAGCAGACACAGGGCCCACCAGCGGGCAGACTCCGCGAGGCCGTCAGCACTCTGCCCTGTGATTACCGGTGCGTGTTATTAACAGACTCCCAAACGCTCACTTTTGGTTGTGCAGGCGGAAGCGGGATAGAACAGACTGTAGAGAAACCAGCAGGGAGAACGAACGCATCACTTTAACAGGGACTCCGGCATCCGCAGGCTCGGTTTCACGCCGTCCGCGGCGGCCTTTCACCCCCAAGGTCTGACTCCTAGTGCGCAGGGCATGGCGCTGCCTGCATAGCCGAGCAGAATACTCCCATTTCTAGAAGGGCCGTGGCTTCCATCTTTCGGAAAACGTTGGCAATTCCAATCCCTCAGATATAACAGGCGTGTTTGTAAACACAGCCACCGCGAGGCGTCCTCAGACTGCCGTTTCTGAGGCGCCTGGTCCCACTCCCCTCCCACCCTCTGCACGGGCTGGAGGACAGGCAATCGCTGAGGACTGCGGCCGTGTAGGACAGCGGTCAGATCGTGTCCCACGTGAGGACCCCCTGGGAGACTCGGGTGCCCAGGCCCCACTCTGACACCCGGCTGCAATGCCTATCAAAGTGGGAGACGCCCTGTGTGGGCTGGAGCATCAGTCCCAAGCTCTGCTCACTCCCATGCGGGTGTGCTCCGTGCAGGCGTGCTCCGTGCAGGCGTGCCCGGCGTGCTCCGTGCAGGCGTGCCCCGTGCAGGCGTGGTCCGTGCAGGGGTGCTCCCTGCAGGCGTGCTCCGTGCAGGCGTGCTCCCTGCAGGCGTGCTCCGTGCAGGCATGCTCCGTGCAGGGGTGCTCCCTGCAGGCGTGCTCCGTGCAGGCGTGCTCCGTGGAGGCGTGCTCCGTGCAGGCGTGCTCCGTGGAGGCGTGCTCCGTGCAGGCGTGCTCCGTGCAGGTGTGCTCCGTGCAGGTGTGCTCCATGCAGGCGTGCTCCGTGCAGGCGTGCCCCGTGCAGGCGTGCTCCGTGCAGGCGTGCTCCGTGCAGGGGTGCTCCCTGCAGGCGTGCTCCGTGCAGGCGTGCTCCGTGCAGGGGTGCTCCCTGCAGGCGTGCTCCGTGCAGGCGTGCTCCGTGCAGGGGTGCTTCGTGCAGGTGTGCTCCGTGCAGGTGTGCTCCGTGCAGGTGTGCTCCATGCAGGCGTGCTCCGTGCAGGGGTGCTCCGTGCAGGCGTGCTCCGTGCAGGTGTGCTGCTGAAGCACGTGGTGTAGGCAGTTCCCCGCCTCCTTGGGGACAGGCAGAGGGAGGACCTCCGGTGGTCAAAGGCCCTGGGGTTAGACCGACTCCCAGGGTCCCTTCCAGCTCTGCCCTGGCCTTTGTCACCTCCTGGTCCTCAGGGAGGGTTGGCCGCCTGCTGGCTCAGCTGAAGATCAGTATCCACGTCCCACATGGTGGCGCCCTCGTTGGCTTGGGGCGGGCCGAGGCAGCGGAATGTGGGGGCCGTGGGCTCCTCCTGGGGAGGCTTAGGGAGAGGCGGGCTTGGGAGTTCTCCAAAGGGTGGGTGCACCCGCCATGGCTCTGGATCTGACTGGGAGCCTGTGATGCCGGGACTGGGGCTCTGCCCGGCAACAGGGAGCCCGGAGGAATGTGGCCCAGGCCGCAGTCCCGGCAGCCTGGGCGGGCATCTCCTGCAGCCGCTCCGGGCCCCGCGGTTCTGTGCTCCCAGGACAGGAGTCCCCGGTCCAGCCCGGACCAGAGGCGGCTCCCCAGCTCCCTGCTCAGACGGATAAGGTGAGCTTCATCTCTCACCTCGCTTCCAAACATTCACACGATCTGAGTGCCTTAATGGCCCGGGAAAGAACGTACCTTGTCCACGTGGTTCGCGATCTCTATTAGTCGCTGCTTCACTTTTCCCAGGTCTTTTCCTTGCCTCTGAAACTTCATAATTTGAGATGTCAGCATTAATCACAGCAGGCGTGTCACTCAAAGCTCATCTTCCCTCCCAGCCCCTGGGCATGCGCAGCCGCGGGCTTCACAAACCCTCCCGGCTCCCTGGGCAATGAACCCCATCCCCCCAGAAACCTCCCGCCCGGGACTCCCTGAAGCGCCCCGAAACTCGCCATGCCACGGAGCGCTCCTACGTAACTGAGTAACTCATGCCTCTCCCCAGCCTCACACATGACGGGCAGCCACTGTTTAGGTCAGTGGTTGGCAAACTCATTAGTCAACAGAGCCAAATATCAACAGTACAACCATTGAAAATTCTTTTGAGAGCCAAATTTTTTAAACTTAAACTATATAGGTAGGTACATTGTTATTAACTTAATTAGGGTACTCCTAAGGCTTAGGAAGAGCCACACTCAAGGGGCCAAAGAGCCGCACGTGGCTCGCGAGCCGCAGTTTGCCGACCACGGGTTTAGGTAAAGGGAAGACGGGCAACGAAGGAGCAGGCAGCCCTGAGCCATTTCTCAGATCGTCACCTTGGTGTTTTCAAAATTGGATTTATTGGGGTGACATTGGCTCACAAAAGCACACCTGATGTTCACTTCATCGCAAAGTCCTTCCTATTTGTTTTTAAACTTAGATAGTGAAGGAACAGGCGCTCACGGCCGCAAGTCCGGCGACCCGGAGGGGAGGGGATGACAAGCTAATGAATCGCCCCTCGGCTGACCTCCAGACGGGGCGGGCTCTGAGAAACAGTCAAGCCAGTTCCCTCCGCCCGCGCTGCGCCCCCGAGGAAATGGCACCTCATTCATCACACGCAGCAGAGGCCGAAAGGAACACGGAGAAGAAACCCCCCAAAAGTCTAATTAAAAATCAATTCAGAGGAAGAGCGAGCGTGGCCCCGAGCCCCGCGCAGAAGGCAGGGCTTCCAGCCGCGTCCCTGTCCCTCTCGCGCCTTCACTTTGGTCAAGGACACATAGGACATGTTCAAAACGCTGCTTTCCCCCCAAACGGTTCAGGAATCCGTTCTAACGCCATCTGCGGATCCCCCAAAGGACCCCCCCACCCCACCCCACCCCCGTTTGGAGAGCTTAGCGATGGAGCAACCGTTTCCTTGTTTGCTTTCCAGTCTTGGGCTTTTATTTTGTAGTTTCAGACTGATTTTTAATGTTTTATACTTGACGCTACCAGAAAGCCCCTTTTCCATGACCTGTTTACATGCCTTTAAGGGCCCGGAGGAAAGGAGGTCAATTAAAGCAAATCGTGACCTACTGAACATCTTCCCTACTGAGCATCTTCTTTCCTTTTCCTCTTTTTTTTTTTTTTAAACCAGCCTTACGACCGAGACATTTCAAGCTCTCACCTCGCGGTTGTCGGCTACAATAACCAGCTCCACGTACTTGGTCATCTGCAGGGTCTCTCTCTTACGCTGCAACAGGAAACACGGGTTCAATTCCCTGGCGGCCTCCCGGGGCAGCCAGAACAGGGTCACCCTCTCCCCACCCAAGCACTTCACTGAGGGGCCCCCGTCCTCACCCCCGGCTCCCACCCGTCCACCCGTCCACACGGTCACCTCCAGCCCCAGCGACCTCCGTGGGACCCTCTCAACACAAGTGACCGGTCTCTTTCATTTTTAAACATATTTTTACTGATTTCAGAGAAGCAGGGAGAGGGAGAAAGAGATGAAAACATCAATGATGAGAGAGAACCACGGATGGGCTGCCTCCCGCACGCCCCATGCTGGGGATGGAGCCCACAACCCGGGCCTGTGCCCTGACCAGGAATCAAATCATGACCTCCTGGTTCCTAGGTCGACGCTCAACCACTGAGCCACGCCGGCCCGGCTTGAGTGACCAGTTTCCATTCATCTAGGAAATCCTTGTGAAGGGAGCTCACGTTCCAGCCGAGTCCCTGACTTTAGGGTCGGAACCAGCATGTGCCGGAACACAGAAACACGCAACAGCGCTGCCTGCACCAGGAGCGCCCCCCCGCCCCCCCGCGGCCGCGCATTCCGGCCCCGAGCAGCACATTTGAAGGTCACCCCAGAAAATGACGTCACAGCGCCCTGGGGGCATCCCCTTTGCCTTTAGGGTCCCGTTTTGTGAGGTGAGGAAAGTGGAAGAGAACAGAGTTTGGGCCGGAATTGCGTGACCCTCTGAAGAAACACAGCTGGGTCCACGCCAGGCGGGGCATTGAAAAACCTGGTTAGAAGCAACGGCAGGCGGGCGGTCTGGGAGCAGGGAACAGCCAGGCTGATAATCCGGGAACAGAGCCAGTGAGAGAGAGGTGTTAGGAGGAAACTAGAAAGGAGCAAAGAGAAAAAGAACAGAAAGAAATCGTGTCGAGAAAAACTACGCCCCTGGAGAGAGAGCGGAACAGCCGGGAAGGACGCGGGAACTGTTTCCAGGGGGGAGGACGGAGGAGGTGCAGGCGGCACCGTGGGAGCCCCCCGCCCATCCAGGCCGCTCGGAAGCGACTACGTTCTAACCAGTTTCCTCAGAAAACATGTAACTCTCCGTGAATCCCTGGGAGAATCCCAGAGGCGTTGTTAGGAGAACGAGAGCGAGTCACGGAGGGTGGTCTCAGAAAGCAAACATCGCACACGGAGCGCAAAGCCTTCTGTTCCTCCGTGAACGCCGCTGCAGGAGCCGGGCTGAGCTGGTCGGGGGCCTGCCCGCGCCTCTGGGTTCCGAGTTCACGCCCCGCACGGCGGCGGCTCGGAGCCGCGTGTCATAACCGCTCGCAGACAGAAGGAAACACGACCCAGGCGCGCTGTGCGTCAGCGGCTCGTCTCACACCCCGAGGGAAACACCTTTCACACAGCAAATCCCATCAGCGCGGATCTTGCAAACTGATTTTTACAAGAAAAATGTTTGCGTCCCAGGGCCCCCCACCCCCCCGCAGTGCTGATGTGTGGGCGCAGGGGCCCTGAACAGACCTGGAACCTGCTGCAGGGAGAAAAAGGAAGCTCCGCGCCAGGCAGGACTTCTCCACCCTCTGCAGCGGCACAGGAAAGAGTGACAAGCGCTGAGGCTCCCTGTTGGAGGTGTGTTTTCAGGTGACAAGTACGTGTGTTTTATGGTGATAAGTATGTGCTTATAAAGAAAAAAGGATTAGCCCCGTGGTAGCCAGTGCTGGCCACAAAATGAGACACCTTCTCAAACAGTGAGGCTCCTGCCCGGCCCCCGTGGCTCAGTGGTTGAGCGTCGACCTATGAACCAGGAGGTCAGGGTTCGATTCCCGGTCAGGGCACAGGCCCGGGATGCAGGCTCCATCCCCAGTGGGGGGGTGTGCAGGAGGCAGCTGATCCATGATTCTCTCTCATCACTGATGTTTCTCTCTCTCTCCCTCTCCCTTCCTCTCTGAAATCAATAAAATTAATAAAAAATAAAAAAAGAGTGAAGCTCCTGCCCCCTTTCCTCGCTGGGGTGTGCAAGAAGCAGAAATCGCCTGCCCCCTTCAATTCCCCAATTCACTCTTAATAGATTCAGCTAATGATATAGAAGAAAATAAAGTCCTACAAATAAAAAAATAAATGAACCTCCCATTAGAAACCCCCTAGAAAGGGCCCTGGTTGTTTAGATGCTTCCACCTTTGAGCCGGCAAAGGGGAGGGGCCCGCGGGCCGTGGACATTCCCAGGGGCCTGGGGTTGCCGTGTAGAAAGCCGTGGTTCCAGATCATGAAAACAAACACGTGCGCCCCGCTTCCCTGTCTCTGCAGCTGTCCGGGGAGCCCAGACTTTCTCATGAATTCAGGGCACTGCAGGCTGTGGGGGAAGCTGACCACACAGCCGCAGGCGCTGGAGGGCCGCCCACGGCCTGTGGTTCGCTCCGTCCATGGTGCTCACAGAGGCTTCAAGCACCCCCACGCGGTTCCCGCCCCTCGGGCCGCCCGGTTTTGTAAGAAGCAAATCCTATTTAACCTTTTTTGATCGGCAGAGCGACCTCTGAAACTGGCTGCTTGATTCAGTTTCCTTCTGGGGTTCGGAACAAAAGCCCTGCCCCGAGCGGAGAGGAACACACGCCTGAGAACGGCCCGCAGTCCCTGCTCCACGGTGGAGGCCGAGGCGCCTGGAACCTCGCTCCAGAGGGAGGCAGTTCCCAGGCCTCTCCAGTCGTCACGGCCAAGTTCCCAGAGAGAGAACATCCCCCAAACATGTCACAACAAGAACGCTGGCGCCGGAGCTTCACGCAGCCCCACGCAAGTCCGAGAAGTGCCACTGGGATCAGGGTGACGGAAGTCCTCACCGTAGTCTTCCCCCACGTGAGCCACACTGTCCTTCATTCACGCACCCCACAGACGTCTCCCGGGAGCCCCCCACGTGCCAGGCACCGTGCTGGGTCCCGGGGTACAGGGACGGACGGGAGACCCCGGGCCCTGCCCTGATGCGGCTCACATGCTGGGCGGAGGGGGTGACAGTACAGAGCTAACAAACATCAAGCATCGTCTGTGGAAAGTACAACCAAGGAGAGAAACCATTTGGACTCAGATGGGGAGGGGAGCGCACTGAGACCTGAGGGGGAGGGGCAGGAACGCGGCGCGTTTACACCTGGAAGACTGCGCCCGCCGCTGTAGGAAAGGAGCGTCGCTTACCCTGCGAGGCGGCCTGGAGGGGCCTGGAGGGTGTGATGCTGAGCCAAATCAGCAGAAAGACAAGCACCACACAATCTCACGCATGTGGAATCTAATGAGCAAAATAAACTGACGAACAAAAAAGATCCAGAGACATGGAAGCATGCAAAGGACTGGCGTCTTTCAGAGGGGAAGTGGGGGGCGGGGGAGGACTAACCAATGAACTTGTATGGACACAGACCATGGGGGGGTGAAGGCCTGGGGAGGGGGTGGGGGGGCTAGAAGGGGCCAATGGGGGGGAAAAGGGGGACATCTGTAATACTTTCAGCAACAAAGATTTAAATAAAAATGACAGCAGAACCCACACCTGCAGATTCTGGAAGCTCCGCTCACGCCGCTGAGATCCTGAGCCGGAGGCCAAGGCTGCGGCAGGACTGGCTGCTCTCCAGCCGGAGGTGGGCCGACCCAGCAGCGGGGGAGCGTGGAGCCATCCCTCAGCCGGAAGTGAAGGCAGCCGTGAGGGAGGGATTCGGCGCGCCTGCCGCCCTCAAAGGGTCTTCGAAGGGATCCAGCCGGTTCCTGACATCCAGCCACCGCTCAGCTCCGCATGCACACACATTATTACCGCGGTTCCGGCTGCAGCACTAGCGGGGCATCCGCTGAAGACCACGGCCGAGGGCCCATCTCCCAGCGGCTGCGCTTGGGGAGACAACTGTCACCCTGACCCCCCTGTTTGTACAAAATAAGCTGATGGACAAAATAGAGCCAGAGGCACAGAGCATGCAGCACCGCCTCCTGGAGAAAGACGACGTTGGCGCTTCCATGTGACGCATCGTTTTCCCCAGGAACGAAGGGGAAGCAGCACAGACAATCCCTAAGGAAGGGCCATTCAAAAACCAGGCACATCTGCCTCCGGGATGCACCGTGTGATGGTGCCGGCAGCAGGGGTGCGGCCCCTTCCCGCAGGCTGGCTGGTGGGGTGGGAGGGGGCACGTGGCGGGAGGCCCAGAGCGGGGCTCTTCGGGCTCACAAACCCGCAGGGCAGAGATCGGACCCTGTAGCTCAGACCCGGCACCACTGGCATCTGACGGGACGGCCTTGTGAAGCCACAGACAGTAGCTCGGCCCGCAGGGCGGCCGGCGCGGACCCGGAGCCCGGCCTGAGCCCGGCTGCTCCGAGAGGGGAGATGGAGACTCTGCCTGCAGACCAGCCTCTGCCAGTCCCCATCGTGGGGCCAGCGGCTGCGGGAAAAGGCCGGGCGGCTGTTGCCCTGTGTCCACAAGGTCAGTTCTTCAGCTGCAGCCGCACCGACTCGCGAGTGTGAAGCCCAGGCCGCCGAGGCCGCAGCACGTGGAGCCTGACCGGGCCCCGTCCTGCTCCCACAGGGGCCGCCCGGCTCTCGGGCACACACTCCCGTCCCAGACGCTCCACTTACCGAGAAGGACTCCTCGCATCGCGTTTGTTACCTAATTGCACGTCAAGTCAAGGCCGTTTTCTCTTCCACAAACAACAACCACAACGCTTTCCAGAGAGAAACGCGGAGAATGAGGCGGACGCCGCGGGGGCCTTCCCGGCTCAGTGTACAGGCCCCTTTCCCGTCCGCATGCGCTGTTAACCAAACAGCACTTCCATTCCGGGGTTCCGCACCGCCCTGCACCTTGAGATGACGGGAACCACTGTGCCCATCACGGCCGAGAGAGCTGCAGATCAGCTACAAAATGACGATCCGGCCGGAGCAGGGCCCACGCACGCCCGCCCACGCGAGACGCCGAACATACTGGGGTGTCATTTCAACCGTCAGGTCGTAAATCTCCACGCGGACGACACGGGTTCAACAAGATACTCAGAGCAAAGTGCCTCCATAGATACATGCAAATTTCCTCCTTGTTCATGACTGACAGGGCCACGGCCACCTCGCATCCGCCCTGAGGCCTGGGATCAAAGGAAGGCGGGCCCACGAGGGAAACAGGCATGCCGGGCTGGCCTGGGGACTCCCACTGTTTTTAAAAAGTATTTTTTTAAAAATATATTTTATTGATTTTTTACAGAGAGGAAGGGAGAGAGATAGAGAGTTAGAAACATCAATCAGCTTGTTCATGACTGACAGGGCCACGGCCACCTCGCATCCGCCCTGAGGCCTGGGATCAAAGGAAGGCGGGCCCACGAGGGAAACAGACATGCCGGGCTGGCCTGGGGACTCCCACTGTTTTTAAAAAGCATTTTTTAAAATTGATTTCAAAGAGGAAGGGAGAGGGAGAGAGAAATAGAAACATCCATGATGAGAGAGAATCATGGATCGGCTGCCTCCTGCACGCCCCCTACTGGTATCAATCCCACAACCCAGGCCTGTGCCCTTGACCTGGAATTGAACCCTGACCTCCTGGTTCACAGGTCGACGCTCAACCCCTGAGCCATGTGGCCGGGCCCCCCCTCATTTTTGAGAGTGTCCTGCGCCCTGTGGGCCCAGGGGAAACTGGATGAGGAGGGTCAGCAGCCATTTGGGGAGGTTTTAGGGCGCTGCCCCTGGGGGAGCTGGTCCACTTCTGTCCACTGGGCGGGGAGAGATCGTTCCAGTTCTGCGTAAAGGGGGGGACCTCTGAGACGCAGACGCAGGGACAGAGGACCTGAAACCCGGGCCCCACAGACAGTCCAGGAGGAGAGGACAGGCCCCAGCTGGGCAGACTCGGGGAGCCACGGGCCGACCCAGGGCACCTCTGCCCGGCAGGTGGGCAGGACTGGGAGCGCGCTGCAGGTCATCGCAAACATCCGACTGCAAAGCAGACCGGACGCCAGGAGCCTCCACGTGGCACCTCCTGCAGAGGGGCCGGCTGAGAGCCACGGGCAGGGTCCCTCGTTGGCAGGTGGGGGCTGGAGGTGTCCGTGTCTGCTGGGGCTCCGTCCACAGACACGCCCGCCTCCAGATAAGCCAGCGAGTCTATCCCCGGCCACAACCCCAGTGGAAAATGCCCTCAGATGTCCCAGCACCGGGTGTCCCTCGCTGGGGCTCAGGGTCCCCAGAATCACGCCCTCTGCTTTCCTGCCTCCCCTTCTCACCCGCGTCCGGGAGGGCGGTGGGTGCCCGCCGCCCGCAGTGGGGCCCGAGGCGCTGGGATGCGACCCGCACGAACCCCAGACGCCCTTCAGGGCTTCGACCGAGAAGAGCTTGTATCTGTCGGTTACATTGTCCATCGGCTCTAGGACGTAGCTTTTATTTTCAAACGTAATGAGTCCCCTGTGGAAAGAGAGAGAAGAAAAGAACATCTGACTTTCAAGGGCAGCTGCTTGTTTATGGCCGGGGCCCGGTTCTGAGCCGGTCAGAGGACGGAAGAGAAACGCAGTGCGTGTCCCGCCCAGGCTCCCACCGCAAGGGACGTTTCTGTGACATGTTCCCATGGATGCGTTTCGCAAATCTTTTGCAAAGTGAGTCTGAGAAGATTTTTGTTTCAAATCATTTTGGGGAAAGAAAAGACTACGTTTAGCCTTTATATACAGATTTTTAAAAAATATATATTTTTTTATTGATTTCAGAGAGGGAGAGATAGATACATCAATGATGAGAGAGAATCATTGATTGGCTGCCTCCTGCACACGCCCTACTGGGGATGGAGCCTGTAACCCAGGCATGTGCCCTTGACTGGGAACCGAACTGTGACCTCCTGGTTCATAGGTCAATGCTGAGCCATGCCGGCTGGGCTATCGAAACATTCTTAAATTGGAAAAGGAGGCAGCATTTCCACACCCAAACAGTCCGGGAGAAAGAGTTTGAAGCAGTAACATAGCTATTTCGAGCGGAACTGGGGCTCACATACCCACAGGGCAATCCCTCGTTATTCAGTGTTCCCGCCACCACTCCTGTTTCGTGGCACGTGACGGGCAGTGGCAGAAACAGACGGAGCCGGGAAGCTCGCACCCTGATCGGGAAGTCGGCGCCGGGACGCAGGGGAGGATTAGACTCCATCGGAGAGTCCGGTGGGGTGTCACCTGCACCCACAGCACGTGACGGCTGAGCGAGGGGGACCAGTGCGGTTTGTGGGGGCGGGGAGGCTATTTCCAACCCCCGCAGGTGGATTCACAACCAACATGGCTGCTGCCGTGTGCTCCCCGCCTCCCATGGCCCCAGCCCGCGTCCTCCTGGACCCCCACGCGGGTCACACAGGCAGGTCTGCCCCTCTCGGGGGTGGGGGGCTTGCATTCTCCTTCCCTGACAAGTTCGTTATGAAATGAGGTTTCCAGTTTATAGGGACTAATAGGGGATTTTAGTTTATGAAAGTTGATTTTAAAAAGCCCCAGTGAAGCCCTAGCCAGTTGGCTCAGTGGACAGAGCATTGGCCTGTGGGCTGAAGGGTCCTGGGTTCGATTCCTGTCAAGGGCACATACCTCGGTTGCAGGCTGCGTCCCAGGCCCTGATCGGGGTGCGTGCGGGAGGCAACCAACTGATGTGTCTCTCTCCCTCTGTCTCTCCCCCTCCCTTTCACTCTCTCTAAAAATCAATGGAAAATATTATCGGGTGAGGATTAACAACAAACAAGAGTAAAACAGCCCAAACGAGGAAAGAGAACTTTACAAAACAGGCCGGGAAACGTGGAAAAAGGAACGCACTTGCGGGGAAAATAGATGGATCTGCCGGGAAAGCGCTGCCGCCGGGGAGAAGGTGGCGCTGACGCTGGCTGTGCACGAGGCGCTCTCTGGCTGCCACTGGGTGTCCGTGGGCCGAACGCTCACAGCGACACACGGCACCAACGTCACATCACGAGACGCCAGCGGCTGAAAGGCCTGCCCGCTTCCTGGGAAATTCGCGAGGCGTCCCTCGGTCAGACAACGCTCTCCTCTCCTGTGGCTCTGAAGTCATCCAGGGGCCAGATGCTGCGAGGCCGGGGGGCGGGGGGGGGGGCTCCCCAATGCAAGCAGCTGGGCCCGCAGCGCCACTGAACGAGGTCATTGCTCTCAGCGTCCGCGTCATTCATCACGCGGCTCTGGGCGCTCGGAACCGCAGCAGCCAAGGACCGGGCTCTTGGACACGTCGGCAGGGGATGTTCTCACAGCCGCGCTGGCCCCGGAGAGATAAGCGAGTGTGATTGAAGCTGCACGTCACAGGCCGTTAGCGATGCACTCGGAGCTGGACGCAGCCCAGCCGCCTTGGAAAGCGGGGCTCTGCTCCCCCCGGCGGGGCGGGCGGAGGGGGTGAGAGAGCATCTGGGAGACGTGCTGGAGCGAGGAGGCTGCGGTTCCCTCTCCAGGGGCCTGGGGGCTGGACCTGCCGCCATGGGCGGCGCGGGGTGGAGGCCGAGTTCTGGGCAGCGAGTCCGCCGTGGGGAATGGAGGCAGCGGGGGAGACAGGGGTGACTGGGGGGATCAGGGCCCCCCTCCTGGTGCTCAGGGCCAGGCCCAGGAGACCCCGCAGAGCTGCAGTCTGGCCATGGTCCCACCGCCAGGGGCACGCAGGTGGCAGGCGGCGAGCTGTGCCCCATCTGGGTCCCACACCGTCCTGCCCCCCCCCAGCGCTGTTTCCAGACGGTTGTGGGGCCGGGTCAGGGTCGGGTGTGATGGAGGCAGAAGCCAAAGGGCCCCATGAAACAGAGCGGCTGCTTTTTAAATTTAATTAATTTTTAAATTGATTTCAGAGAGGAAGGGAGGGGAGAGAGGGATGGAAACATCAATGATAGGGAATTGAACCCTGACCTCCTGGTTCATAGGTCGACGCTCAACCCCGGAGCCGCGTGGCCGGGCCAGAGCAGCTGCATTGAAACCAGGCAGCCTTATTTCAAACGCAGAAACCTGTGGTTCTCCTGCGATGGAAATGAAGAGGAACCGGTTCCAGTGGTCAGTGGACTTGTGAGCTTCCCGGCAGCCACTCAGGGCCCCTCTCCTGGGTGAGCGTCAGTCCTCCTCCCGCTCAGTGTCCACCCCGCAGGCGCCGGCGGGAGGCAGGCTGAGCCGCTGTGACTGCTCCCTCCGCAGGGCCAGCCGCCCGGCGTGGGGACGGGGGCTCGCCTCCTGCTCTGAGTTAACGGCTAGAAGGTAGGGATCGCCCGGCTGCTCCGCGTTCACTTGCTGATTTAATTTTCTCGGAGGAAGACTTTGCTCCGTGTCATGCCTCCGCCGTGACCGCGGGAGGCCCGTGTGCGGAGTGAAGCGCCGTCCTTCCCGGAGGAGCTCCAGGCAGAGCCAGCGGCCCGCGCCATGTCTGACGCGCAGTGAGGCGCGGGGCGGTGGGCACAGGCGCACGTGGGGCTCATTCCAGCGAGTAATTCCACGTGAGCTCCTCCCTCACCAGCCACACAGCCACGCGCTCCCCGCCACGCGCAGCGCTCGCCGGCCCCCGGGGCCCCGTGCAGACATCTCTCGCCCACGGTTCCCGTCCCAGTGTAATTCGCAACCAGGTTTGGGTGGCGCCCAGAGGTACAATGTTGAGCTGTTACCAAGGTTTCAGGAGTAGTTATGACGGACCCAGCCACAGCAGCTGATTTATGGAGAGACCGCCTTACCAGGCCCCTTTCAAAGTCACAGCTTTAGCCTGGCCGGTGCTGCTCAGTGGGGAGAGGACTGGCCTACAAGCCCAGTGGCTACAGGTTCAACTCCCAGCCAAGGGCATGTACCTGGGTGGCAGGTGCGACCCCCAGCCCCAGTCGGACGTGTGCACGGGAGGCAGCCAATGGATGTGTCTCTCTCACATGAATGTTTCTCTCTGTCTTTCCCTCCCTTTTCCACTTTCTCTAAAAATCAATGGAAAAATATCCTCGAGTGAGGATTAACAACAACAAAAAAATCAGTGTGTCTGGCTGTTTTCTACACTCAGGGAGCATCGTCCTGGCTTGTTTCCACCTCCCAGCCCTGGTGGGACTGGCTGCTCTGCAGGTGAGCAGTGTGTAAGCAGGTGATGAGTGTATAAGCAGGTGATGAGTGTGTAAGCAGGTGATCGGTGTGTAAGCAGGTGATGAGTGTGTAAGCAGGTGAGCAGTGTGTAAGCAGGTGATGGGTGTGTAAGCAGGTGATGAGTGTGTAAGCAGGTGAGCAGTGTGTAAGCAGGTGATGAGTGTGTAAGCAGGTGATGGGTGTGTAAGCAGGTGATGAGTGTGTAAGCAGGTGAGCAGTGTGTAAGCAGGTGATGGGTGTGTAAGCAGGTGATGAGTGTGTAAGCAGGTGATGGGTGTGTAAGCAGGTGATGAGTGTGTAAGCAGGTGAGTGGTGTGTAAGCAGGTGATCGGTGTGTAGCAGGTGATCGGTGTGTAAGCAGGTGATGAGTGTGTAAGCAGGTGATTGGTAACCGTCTGCAGGACAGAGGGGAGCACAGGCGGGAGGCCCCGGGGAGCCGCGTGGGTTTGAGCGCAGGGTGGGGCCGTCCCTACCATACGATCAGGCCGTAGTTTTGAAACACGACCTTCCGGAATGTGCACGAGGCTGCGAGGGGAAGGGTGGAGGCAGGAAACATGGGTGGGAGGCAATTTAGAAATCCCGGAGGGTTGAGTTAGGGTGGTGCCGAGAGATGTTAAAGGAGAGATGATGGGGGCGGGGGCGGGGGCAGGAGCGAGGCCTCAGCATCCCAGGGCCGAGCCCAGGAGCGG